CCCCCGCCCCTCTCCCCGCGTCCACTTAACCTCCCAATAATTGAACCACACTTGTCATCCGGAAAGCAAAGAACTAAGCAGGACTGCAACCCGAGCGACAGTCGCGAGCCTAGGTATGTCTGCCGAACCTCTGCCGCCGAATGACCAGCGACCACCTGTCGAGCCGAGCTATACGATCGCACCGAACTGATTCGACTCGCTAGGGGGGCTGGCGAAGAAAGGGCGTCTCGAGCAACGCGAACGCGGAGAGTGGTATACTAAAGGGCGACGCCCAAGAAGAGAGAGGCTTGTGACGTGACGGTCACTGCGATGACGATGTCGTGGTGAGAAGCGATGAGTGATGTGTGCGACGAGTAAGACCGAGACACACGGTCTCACATGACTGCCGTTGACCACCCCGCCGTTGACAAGAGAACACGCACCACACTGTACTCGGTCAAGGCACACAACAGGACTTTCACTCCACGACCACGCCGCGCCACGCCACGCCACGCCGGGCTGCAGGGCGTTCTGGCCCTGCCCCTGGCCTTGCCAGGACTTGCCAGGCCTTGCCCCCGCGGGTCAGGAGCGAGGTCTTCTCCATGGGGCACTTGTGTCCCGGCTGACGGGTGTCTTCAACTTCGCGGGGACGACGGCGTGCCCGGTCCTTCCCCTGTGACCATGGCCCGGCGGGAGTCTTGAACCGCGAGGAGGCACTTGATCGCGGCACGCACGCACAGAGCACAAACCTGGCATTCCACGCGAGAGGGGCCGCGGCTGGCAACAACAACGGCGTCCTCTGACGGCACCTCGGGGCGGTCTGGTGGTGCGGACCGACCTGGGAGGACCGCTCGGCACCGGTTCTAACTGCGGCGGCGGGGCGCGGCGGGGCGCGGCGGGGCCCGCAGGGCCGGGTACCACCGGGATGGTGCTGGGCAGGCTCACCTGGTTTGTATCCACAGAGCGCCGCGCTGCCTTGGCCGCACTCACTCACAGACTGAGCGGCTCCGGCGGCTCCGCTCCTCCTCACGCCCGTAAAGAGGTCGAGCCGGTGCGGCCGACGCGGCTGCGGCAGAGGCGGCGCGGGGCCCAGGACGGCTGCGGCGGCGGTGGCGGCTGCAGCGGTGGTGGCGGTGGCGGTGGCGGCGGCGCCGTCGGAGGAGGAGGAGAGGAGGTGAAGAGGCCCGAGGGGACGCGCTACTTTCCCCCACGTCACCGGAACGGGGGGGTCCTTCCCCCCGGTACCCGCTACCCCGCCGGCGGCAGCGTCCACGTCGGGCGTGGCGTGGCGGGGCGGTCGGGAGTCGTCGCCCCGTGTGCGCCGGGCACACCTTACCTGCCTTACCCGCGAGACCGACGCACGGCGCGCGCAAATATTTGCGGCCGAGGAAAGTATTTATTTATCGACGAATTAGCCGAGTGGTCCCCGGTGGTTGCTGACGCGCTAGGCCCCTTCTTCAGCCAGAGGACGGAGGTCCTGGCTCGAGCGCCGCAGGGCCCTCCGCCGGCGGGTACCGAGTACCCTCCCCCCCCCCTCCCTCCTTCCCCCCGCACC